GAGTAGATAGAAAGTCTTATCACCTTCACTACTCCACAAGCGTCTGTAATTCAGTGAGTTTTCTCTTGCTGTGTTTTGCCTTTGGCATGCTGGCAAAACATCATCTGACCTTTTGTTGAGCGCTACAGTAGTGGATATTTAGTTTGGACAGAAAACCATTTGTGAAAAAACTCAGTTAGATAAAAAAGTCCTTCTCTGGATTTTTCTTTAAGGATCCAAAGTTATCTTCAGTGTTCCTCAACATTAAAACATCGGACTCTGGATAATCCCACACACTTATAGGTTTAGGGTTAAAGCTTCCAGTTCGCCTCTGCGCCTCTGACATATCACATTTTTTGCAAAAAAGGTGGGAACATGCTTATATAGCCAAACATTCATTTGGTTTGATTTGAGTCGTTTGTGTTGCTGCTTTATTTGAACTTATACTAAATCAGAGTATAGTATAAATCATGTTAGTATAGTGTTTACATCCTCCTGTAGGAAGGTGTTGCTTGATGCTGAGCTACTACATTGTTGGGATTGTGCAGGTGTGAACATCTGCTTGGACCCAGAGAAAGGTTGTTCAATAAGTTGTACCTTTAGCCAAGACATCCATTTGTAAAAAGCCACTCAAAAGCAAGAACATATCTTAAACTCTCTGGTTTTCAGTTTAAGAGATTTTTTGTTTGACTTTTAACCAAAAGTGCTCCTACTGTATAAAATCAAAATAGATCTGTCAGACTTGCAAGACAGATTTAATTAAGCATAGTGAAATTCAATGATGCAGAGGTTAAGATAACTTGAATCTCTGGGTCATGCCCCCAAACACTGGATCCTACAATTCTCTTAGTGCAAGTCAAAGCTGATACCTCTAATGACATTGTGTTGAAAATGTCAACCAAAGACACAAAAGACATTGAACTGATTTGTTTCTCAGGTTGAGTACTGAAGATGTCACTCGTGAAGGGCCCACTTTAAGAATCAAACAAGAGCTACTTGTCACCTTTCTTTCAGGTGGTTCAACAACCAAGATAATTGTCTTTTGAGCTCCGACTGCCAAAAATGGACTGAGATCGGACCCCTTGACATCAGAAATAAGTCGTCCCATCCACAGTAGTTGGTCTATTACCCTTCTGTGGGACAGACCAGAATCCTGTGCAGCTCTTTGCCCTTTACACTGGCAGTGGCTTCAGACCCTGCTCCCTTCAGTAAGAGGAGGAGACCCTCAGTCATAGCTTCCTTTTTTATTTAATCTTGCCTTTGCTACACTTATGAGTGCAGCCTTTTCCTGACCCTATTCATAGTGGCTTTTTAATGGTTTGACCATGTCCTTGAGTCCTCTGGGAGTAGTGGGCTCAACTAGAGGCTCTTGTGTGAGCACCTGTGTCTCCCCTTCATCACTTCCCCCAAGATTCACCAGGTTCCAACCTTTTCTCTCTCCTCCCCTACCTCTCAACCTCTACTTCTCCTTCTCACCCTCATCTACTGTACCGTGTACTCTTTCAACCTCTATCTTCCCTCCACTGATGAGAGTTATTATCCTCTTACACCGTCCAGCCCCTGCCAGCTCACTCCCTGACTTCCTCTTGTACTTTTGCTTTTAGTGGTCTTTATAGACCCTCTCACCTCTATTCTCATCCTCACTTTTCTTTTTTTCGGCTTTGCAATTTCCTCCTCTGCTTCCTATCTGTTCATCTGTGTGTCTATCAGCCTGTTACTGCTCTATCCGTCGATCCATCTTCCTCCATCTTCCCTTTAATTGGGAGGCAGATGTTGACTCTGGCTGACTAATGTTTCGGCAGCAGATAGACCTCACCCGTGATCGCATGTCACGTGAGCAAAATGGCCAACAGTATGCGCGCCTGCCACCAGTTAAATGTTCAGCTCCAGCGATTTTGGGTGAAAAAGCAATTAGGATTTGGAATTAGTGTTCAAATTAAAGAGGAATTAAACAGGCTCTGAGATTAACCCTTTCAGGCATGGCCACCCCTCTTTCCAAAAGCACACGATCATCATATCACTGAATCCTCCTCTCTGGAATGAAAGGTGGCAGCGCTGACATGTGATCCAACATCACGTCCTCTCCCCCCCTACGGGACTGGAAGGGTTGATTATATATTGACGCTGTCCCCGGTGGAATAGCCATAATTGTAATTTTTTTCTTCCTGTCGTTCCCCGGACTCTTCTCTTTTCCTTTCTGGACAAAGTGACAAATCCTGCTTTGAAACTTAATGACGTTTGAAATGGAATTTGAGGCTACAATTATCCTGTCCATACAGGCTGTCACAGGAATGATGGTGCCATCTAGACACAATTATGGGAATAGAGACACCTGGAACTGCTCTGACCCACCAAGGAACGCCAAATCTGAGTCCAGCAGCTCTCCTGCTTTAGCTGAGACTTTTACATTTATGAAGCACACTTGTTTTTGCTGTACACATACAAACTGTAATTTTTGATGAAAATGTGTGACTGCTTTTGAAGGGATAATTGAACATCGTTGGCTTAGTGCCTGCTCAGCATGGCACCCACCACCCACTGTCGTGCCTACAGAGGTAACCACAGTGCTCATGCATTAGCTGCTGAGATGCTTTTTGGTGCCCTTTAACAAAAAACCTTCCAGAAATGTATTAAAATTACAACATGTAGGCGTTATAATTACCACTCTCTCCCTTTCTCTGTTTCCCCGTAGGCTTTTTATACTTCAGCTCCTATGTTCCCGACTGCTGTCTTTTAAGTTGTTCTCTACTTGCATAGCTTCTCATTCTAGCATGTTAGTGCTCTAGCCGTCTCTTCCCCTGCAAGCTGACAGTATTTTCTGTCTGCAGCAGCAGCCTGTAAATGGCTGCCTGATGGAAAGTGACATTTTCACAGAACCCTGCGAGGGATGCGAGGTGATCTCTCCTTTTTCCCACACAAAGTGCTCCTAATTGCCCGGCGCATTTGTGAGCCCAGCTGACAAACTCGTGCAAATCAATAATTCTGCTCGGGGAAGATGCGGTGACACAGAGCCTCTCACCCCAATACGTGCCGTGAAGACTGACACATGCACCCGCATACAGATACACACAGGCACCTGCAAGTAAACACACACATATATACACTCCTTGCACACACACACACACACACACACACACACACACACACACACACACACACACACACACACACAACCTCTGCTCGCCGTCGTTGTGCTGTCTGCCCTCGATGGCAGTGTTTATCCGTGATTCTAAGACAAATAGGTAGAGAGCATCGGAGCATTAAGGGCAGCCACGGTGAAGGCTGAAATAATGGATGGTGGAAATGGCAAAAGAACCAGCGCTGCTCATTACTAAATGGACTCTGCAGAGGTAGAAACTTTGCTGCACTAAGTATACAGATGGCAGCAAAGCTTAAAATAGGGGCTTATTTAACAGGTTTTGTTTGTGTTTTTGTTCTCTGCTCTGTAATAGCCCTGACTCTAAAAGTTTCTCGCCGAAGAAGAGAGAATGTCATAGCAATTTGCAAAGTCTGATTGACTTTCGAGTTTATAAATGGGTTTGTTGTCCTTCTAAGTTTCCTTAGAGCTCTTTTACTTCTCTTTGATATTTCCCACAAATTCATTACTGGTATCGGAAGACATTTTGCTATATTTATTTTTCTAAATCTATGTGTGCAAAAGACCTTGAAAAGCACATCTTTGTATTTTAATGAATGCCTCCCACTGGTTTTCCTGTCTTGCTTTGTTCCTGGTTTGACCTCCTTTAGTGCAGTGATGTACGTCCTCCAGATAATTCTAACAAACTAACTTTCTCTCCGCAGGCTCGTCTGTGATGCAGGCGACAGCCACGGATTCGGACGACTTTACCACCGCTAACGGCATGGTGCGCTACCGCATCCTCTCGCAGACCCCCCACAGCCCCATCCCCAACATGTTCACCATCAACAGTGAGACTGGAGACATAGTAACCGTGGCAGCCGGCCTGGACAGAGAGGTCAGTGTCAGCTGTGTGCATCGTGTCCCTGTGACTCCCACCATTTGATCATCTTCTGTTCACCCAGCCATAAGAGACTGTTGAGTGGCTCAGCGGTGCGGTTTATACATCCAGGGGTTAAACCCTCCAGCGCAAATTGAAGCTTCTGGTACTCATGCAGCAAATGTCAATACAATTAAATGTACTGCCTATTTGTGTTACGGGATGTAATGCCATAGAGGCAGGAAATAAGGAGAGACACAAATAAGTAGCCTATGCGATACAGCTGCTGGTTTTTTTGTACCTTTGAACAGAGTGAGGCTAGCTGTTTCCAAGCCTTTACATGAAGGCAGGGACACGGACTCTGACCCCATGGGAGCTGTGGGTAGGACACATGGGCGATGTTACCGGAGCTGCAGTGTTGGAGGGTTATAGCCGATAGTGCTAGAAATAAAGAGATGCTGCCCGTCAGGTGCTGCTCTTAGCCTGACAGAACTGTTTTGGACAAAATAGACTAAAGATTTGTTGCATAGACTATTCATATTTCATTTTAGGGAGTTTATGAAAAGCACTCTCCTCACTTTCATCCCTAAGTCTACTAACCTTTACTTTTTTTGCAAAACATGTGACCCAAGGCCAACTGCAGACACCTCAGTGAAAATCCTAATCAGATATTGTACCTTCGGGTGCAGACCACAATTTGTGTTTTATAAGGGAGGCGTGTGGTGCAGTGGGTTGGTGTTCTGATCAGGGGGTCACAGGTTCAAACCCCACTGCAGTCAGCATGTCGTTGTGTCCCTGAGACACTTCACTCCAAATTGCTCCTGTGGGGATTGCCCACAGTATTGAGTGTGTTAGTCGCTTTGGATAAAAGCGTCTAACAAGTGACATGTAATATGAAAATATATGACGCTGCGACCTCTCGTTCATTTCAGCCTCCTAGCTACATTTATCTTGGTTACAGTTTTTAGAATAAAAGGATAAAGAGAATGAGCATATAATAATGAGCAAATGTCTAACGAGCCACCAGGATACCTATAGTCATGCTGTGTACGACCTATTGTGCTAACCCACAGTATGTTTCCCAGCAGCTTGTGTCTCCATAAACAGGGAAACGTCAAATCAGTGGCGTCTGAGGTCAGCTTTCAAAGTCTTAGTTGGAATGCCTTTATCTGGTCTGCTCATGTTGGCCATCATTTTACCGCAAAATATCTAATTAGTAATTAGTAACGAGTAAAAAGCTAAATAAATCAACTTAATTTTACAAAGTATTTGTCAAATCCTCACAGAAAATCTGATAAATAATGTTATTTTTTACCGGTCTTCATTAGCTTGCTATGCCTGGATGCAAAGATCTATAACTTAGTAACCTGCTATTTCCAGAGTTTCCTGCCTCACAAAGACTGATAACTTTTAGCAGCATTGGGTCTTAAGAGAAATATAAACCAAAACAGAATACACAGAATCGCAAAACAAATTCATACTTTCCATTTGATTGTTCTCGTGTTGTGTACAAATGACAGGATTATTTATTATGTGTATTTCTCCGCGTGTAAAGCAGGGCAGATATAATGGCCTCACGAATCCTGCACCTCTCTGCTGACGAGGTTGTGGGAGCTTTCTCTTCATTGCCATCTTTTGTCTCATCCACTGATGATGTGTTTGCCAATCCACCACCACAACACACACCGTCCCTGCTCCATCTTCCAACTCACTCCACTAATGAGGAAGGTCACGCAGTGTCGACAATTGTTTATCCCAAGATGCGTCAGGTGCCTGTTGGATTTAGTGTTTCATGGGAGATTGTTCATCCTGCAGCCTTTCTCTCACACACAAACACACACAAAACTCATCTTTTCTCTCTCTCTCTCTCTCTTCCCTCTCTCTCTCTCTCTTTTTCTTTCTCTTTCTCTCTCTCTCTCTCTCTCTCTCTCTCTCTCTCTCTCTCTCTCTCTCTCTCTCTCTCTCTCTCTCTCTCTCTCTCTTCTCTCTCTCTCTCTCTCTCTCTCTTTCTCTTTCTCTCACACACAAACACACACAAAACTCATCTTTTCTCTCTCTCTCTCTCTCTCTCTCTCTCTCTCTCTCTCTCTCTCTCTCTCTCTCTCTCTCTCTCTCTCTCTCTCTCTCTCTCTCTCTCTCTCTCTCTCTCTCTCTCTCTTTCTCTCTCTCTCTCTCTCTCTCTCTCTCTCTCTCTCTCTCTCTCTCTCTCTCTGTGGTGTACTATTTAACAAAAAACAAACTCGCAAAATCAAGAAAACATTCAAATTCATATGCCGCCATTATGAAGATAATCTCATCGTCGTAATTTAGCTGGCTGGTTTGACTACAGACATTAAAGGATCGTTGAGTGTGTCTCATAATGTTTATATTCTGAGAAATCCCGCTGGTCCATCTCGACACTAAACCCTGACAGGCAACACTTAAAATAAAAACAGGATTTTTCACAGTAGGGCGAGCGTATTCGAAGAATAATTACTTTAGAAATCTCAAGAACAAAACCAGGTTTTGATTACAAGAAGAATACGCTACATCAATGCTCTTTCCTCTTCCAATTCTTTTTTTTTACTGAGCTGGCAGGATAGCGTTGTACATTTGTGGGACAATATAAATGAGTCTAGTGAACGCACGCCAGCTCTGTGTCCCTGTTTCCAGCTTTGGCCCAGGCGGCAGCAGTAGCAGCTGATGTGAGTGAGAGAAAGCTCATTAATCTGGACACATCAAGCCAAGCTAGGTCCCACCTGCCTCTGATCCTCCCACTAAAACTGGGACACACCTGGGAGTTCACCCACCTGCTGTCAAGGTCATCAACACAAACACACAAACGCGCTCAGACACATGGGCACGTGTTCGCTCACACACACTCCCATGATGCTCTGTTTGTAGTTTAGATGCAGTAAGGCCCACACAGAGTCAGGAGTAGCAGATACGACAAAGTAGATCCAAGGTCTCAAACTGAATGCAACGTGAGTGGCGTGCCCACGCTGCCACTCATTAATAAGTATACTCACTTTATGGACACTGAACACCTTCGCAGCACATACTGTATACTCTCTTTTGCTCACCATTAAGCTCACCCTCGTTCACCACGCCGGTGTCTAATTTGAATATTCATGTGCTAATTAAGGGGTGAGGCAGGTTCTCGCGTGTTGAGGAGACCAGGGGGTACACGGAGGTTAGTCAGGAATGACTTACCTCTGACACCGCTGAATACCAATTATTTTCCCTAGCTCACCGCCCGCAACCCCTCTCCTCCCCTGACCCCCCCTGACCTCCCAGGCTTCCCTGCGCTCCAGCCCACCGGCTAACAAGCTGTGCTACGGCAAACACGTGTGTTTGAATCCATACAACCTAAAGGAGATTTAAAACGGCTGTTTTTATGTGGGTGTGGGTTCTGGTTCTGTATTTGCGATGGACTACATTGAAAAAGGTTGAGGGGACGTCATTTAAATTGCAGGCGGTGTTGGTGTAAATGGAAACGCAATGAGGCAAAGATAATTCTAGTGATATGACTCTCTAGTGATACATTGCCTTAGTCTGATCTAAAAAAAATCTCTATTCTTTGTAGTACTAAACACAAAGTACATTTCATGTGTGTTACTAAGAAAAAATGGATGCTTTTTGAGTGTGGGCAAAGTTGAGAAACTAATACAGAAAAAAACCTTTTCCAACTTTGCATTTATAAACTAGAAATTGATCCTACAAATATTCTCTTCATCTTTCTCAAAGATACGACAAAATAACTACGAAAGAAAGAGAGTAATTCCTGACAAACCTTTTTTAAGTCATAAAGTTATAAGCACAAGTGAAAACTATTGAGATCAGACCTAGAGAAAGGATCAGAAATGTCTCTCTTTTCTTTTAGGGCTTCTTTAGTTTTACATTAGGGTTTACACGGTTTTGTGTATGTTTCTCTGCACATGCGCTGTTCTGAAAATAGACTCGTCTGTCAGTCTTCTATGGATGGAAGAAATACATTTCTAATGAAGTACGGCTCTGCTGCAGCAGCAGGTAGCAGAGCGGGAGATGTCAGGTTGCCACAGCTGGCGTGGATGTTCTCCCTTTGTGCCCTCCCTCCATGGCTCTGATTCCACTGGCAGGCAGAGCTGTTGTCTTTCATTACCCCAGGCTGTCTCAATCTCCCATGAGCCCTGGATGGGATCAGTCTGGCGCGGCATGGTGTGGAATGGCCCAGCGCCAGGCCGTCCACCAGGCGTGTGCCAGCTCTGCATTGGCCTGTCTCTCTGACGATTAGGACATCGCCTGGACTGCCTCAAGGACATGAGTGCCCAGAGCCTGGCTCTATTAGCCCGACTGGGGAGACGGGCTGAGAGCAGGCTTCCTAAATGGGTCTCAGGCTTTATTGTTTCAGAGACCCTGAGTTATGTTAACTCCCTGCTATAGCACCAAGGCTCCAGGAGCCAGGAAGCAGAGCCATTGTTAACATGTTGCTGAATGAAGAATATTGATGCATGTAGATGAATGTTGACTGCTATCCAGTCCTCCTTACTATGTGCACCTAGCCAGTATTGAATGGGGTCTTGTTTTGTCTTCAGAAAACACCTGAATTGTTCCATTCTAGTACAAACCGTGTTTTTCAGCGCTCTCTTTTAGACGATGCTGAGGTGCTTTGGTCAAGGTCAGGTTTTTTGTTCAACTTCCCTCAGAAAAATAACACTTTTATTCTATGCTCTTCCTATTTTTCCCCATGGACAATCCCTTGATGACTTTTTGACACCTGCCTACTTTTTAAAGCGTTTAATCTCAACTGTTTGCAATATAGTTCATCAGCTATTTCCACAAATGTTGGAGCCTGTAAAGACTGTGGGCGAAAGAAATATAACTACCTCACCTTGATCTGCAAAAGCATGCTGTGTACCAATTACACCAGTGTCACCATATCTGAAAGCTATAGCAGGTTTTTCTTTACAGATCAGTAATATCCTGCAAATGGTTGTATATACCTATTCAGACTATGCTGCAGCAACTGCTGGAACACGGCTGGAGATTTCTACCATTCACAACAAAACGATCATCTGAATCAGAATTGGGTTTCTTGTCTTTCTCTTACAAAGAATGTTGCTTTAGAATATTGGTGCATGGCAAGAAACCTAAGACATTGGGTGCAGACATTCATGTAGGATAACTGTTTTTATCCAGCATCTTATCTAGCATTGTGATTAGCTCTTAAAAACATTCTTAATATTTAGTTACATGCAAAACGAATGACTAATGCTAAAATAAGCTTGTGAACATGGTAAACATTAAACCTTAACATCAGCATGTTAGCATGCCGTTCTAAACATTTAGTCCAGAGCACCGCTGGGCTTATCTAAGATCCCCCAGAACCACTAGCACATCTTCAGAAAGGTTATCTTTCCACATTACTCATATCAGGAGATTTACAGATGATTGCTGCTCTTCTTCTTTTGCTCTAAGATGTCATTTAACTAACAGCGCAATCTTGCTTGCATAGTTTGCTCCTCACTGACATTTCCTTACTTTAAGTATAGCCATCAGGTCCGGCAAAAGCATGCACATATTGTATTGTGAGGCTCGATTGGACGATTAACTGAACGTTTTGCCCAGTCTGCGCCTTTGATTCTAGTCGCTTTATTAATATGTGACTCACAGCCTTTATTAGACCAATGTGACTCTGACTGGCTGTTTGCGTAAATGTGGAGGCGTATCTAATTAACTATATTCTATCCGGAATTGATCTCATATTTACACTACCTACATATCTGTGTGAATGAGATTCAGAGAAAAGCTTCTAGGGAACAGTGAGTTTTGAACCAGCGTGAAGCTGTTTGTGTGAGAGACATCCCAGAGAGAGAGAGAGAGAGAGAGAGAGAGAGACAAAACAGACTTCCTGCATATCTTTGGTACTTACTGGAGAAACATAGGAAAAAACTTGTGTGCCATTGGACTGAAATAATTTCAATTAGATTGGAATAAAAAGAAATGGAGATGAATTGCATCAAATGAAATTGAGTAAGTGAAGTGAAACTAGTGGGGGTCACTGAGGTGGAGAGAGAGTTGAGTCAGGAAAAGCAGGGGAGCTAGTCTCTAATGTTTTAGCTTCCACTGCTGGGCCGTTTGAGGCAGATTGTAAGTGACAAGCTAATGACTGTGGCCACTAGGAGCCTGGCAGGCCAGCACTCAAACAAAGTCTCTCACTCGCCATTCCTCTGTTCTTTTTAACCATTTTTGAGTGGTCCTTTAACTGAAAATGCACGCTGAGCTCAGATATCATTAATTCACCACTGCACACATTTTACCCGCAATCCGCTCCTTTCCATTTCCTTGTTTAACATCTCTTTACATGTTCAGACCATTATTGCCTGTACTTTGTACTTTGTTCTCTGACAGTCTGACAGGAGCCCATTTACTGACGAACCACGAGCAGCCAGTCCTTTCCTCCCGCCCTAACTGCTGCTCAGCCTGAGTTGTTGAGAAGCTAACCTTGATAGCCTGAAGCCAGGTTCCTATTCCTTTCTCCAGTCTCACGGATGGTAAAGACCTCATTTGGTCCCCGAGAAAAAAAGTGATTGTGTTGGTGGAGTTGCCGGTGGTACGGGTGTTTCTGTGGCCTATGATCACTTATAGCCTCCCACAGATGAAGTCTGTGAGACTCTCGGCCTGTGTGGTGGGGGGACTGGGCTGTTGCTGCTGGTCGTGTTACAAGGGGCTACATTTCCTGCCAGCGCTGGACTCTAATCTAACAGAGAGATTTTCTGTTCAGCACTTCTGTAGGAGTCATTAGAGAGCCTTTTACTGGCTTGTTCGGGCAGTCACTTTTGGACAGCAGAGTGCGCTTGGCTCTGTGTGTGTTCGGTGTACGTGTGCACATCCAGTGAAAGAGTGTCCCACCTGTTCCCACTCGTGTGTGTGTGTGTGTGTGTGTGTGTGTGTGTGTGTGTGTGTGTGTGTGTGTGTGTGTGTGTGTGTGTGTGTGTGTGTGTGTGTGTGTGTGTGTGTGTGTGTGTGTGTGCGTGTGTGTGTGTACTAGAAGGGCCATAAACTCACAACTAGTCTCAGATGAGTAATATAACACTGCAGGATGGGACGCATCAGCCACATCTCTAACTGAGTGGGACAGCTCCACCTGCTGGATCAGCTCCAGTCATGTCTCCTCACCTGACCAAAAAGAAAAAAGGCGTCCATCAGAGCTGCAGCCTGTTAGCTTCCTAAAGCCATCTGCTGGTATTTGTAGATTGATGTATGTGACCGAATCTAAATGAGCCTGCAGAGAGTCACATTCATTGCAGGCTCTATTTACTGACGCGCTCTATGAGGGAAGACGGTATTGATATTTCATTATGAGTCTAATAAAGGGCAGCCAGTATTGACTTTTCATTAATAGGGCTGGTTTGGTGCAGATTAACATGTCTGCGCTGTTCATAATGACTTGGAGAGATGCTAAATGGCTCCAGCTGGGTGTTTTAAATGGCCTCAATGGTCTGTCTGATCTGAACATCAACTGCATCTTTCACGACTGAACTAATAGCGAGAGCGGGAGAGGAGATGTAGAGATACACTGGCAGAGAGACAGGCAGGCAGAGAGATAGACCGATAGAGAAGACACAGGCGGAGAACACTGAGCAACCAAGATGCCATCTGAAAGATAGCGAGAGATCAAAAGAGAACAGAATGTGAGTTAATGAAGAGAACGGAACAAAAGAAGAAGAAAAAAAGCCATGACTAAATAATAAAAAAGGCCTGGGTTTGTTCTCGTTCCTTCCTGCAGACCCTGACATCAGTGCCACTGGCTTTCAACCTGATAGAAAGTGTGGTCAATGTGGCGAAACTAGCCTAGCAACTAATGAAGACCTTACAATCAATGTGACGCATTGTGGATGCTAAACAAAGCAGCCGGCCATGTGCGCCAAACACTGGCCTGTCCTTGACGTACACTGGCTTGCATCGACACAAAGGAGGTTTGAGCCAAAAGATTAATATGAAGAAAAAGAGACCACAAAGCAGATAGGCTTATACTGTCAGGAAACACACACACACACACACACACACACACACACACACACACACACACACACACACACACACACACACACACACACACACACACACACACACACACACACACTCTCTCTCTCTCAGCACCACGGACAGTGTCACGATGCTGGACTGCCGCTCTGAAGCTTTGGTTTGTGTCTAAGCAAAGCTGAAAGTGTTTCTCGTCATGGCGCTGCAGCAGACTCTGGGGCGACTGACTCCCCCTCACTGTAACTGGACTAAATAAGGCCCATTCACCTCCTGGTATTATCCGCTGCACTGTGGCGAATTTTAAAGTGGCGGCGCCTCCATTAAATTGAGTGATGATCCTGTTTGGTTCCCACAGCGGAAAGCCAAGACTTTTAGGCAATAATGGATGGGCCTTTCACCAACACAGTGCTCCCTTCCTGCAAATTTGTGAATGTCTGTAAATGTGTGTGTGCTGTTTGCTATCCAACAGATTCCTGCTGTACTGTTGTTCCGCTGAGTGAGTCAGGCTATTGTCATACACTGTTCGCACATATACCCACGTAAAGTAATGCAGCCTTTTTGCATATAGACTATGTAATCGTGAGAGAGGACAGATGATATATGTCCTCTTATCGAGGAGTTCGGAATGGAATGACTAATGAAACAGGAAATCAACCTTGACTTAAATTCAGTTATGATGTAAAGATCTATAAAATATAAAAACAATATTAAAGTGTTTTCAACTAAATCTCAAATAACTGTCAATGAGACACCAACCAAGACTGGTTGCTCAATATCCATCCTATTTTATTTGTTACGGTAACTCCGTGATTAAGTAACGACACTTGCGCAGTCTCTTTAGCATAAATCTTTTAACATAGCTTGTGTTGCTGGACATTGGTAGGAAAATGTACACATATAACAATATCACTTTGTGGAAGTACAAACCAAGCATTTGTGAGTGAGTAGAAAAAAGGAAGATGTGTACTTGTAGATGGAGGGAGTTTTTGTCATGCATTCACTACGTCATGGTCAAATAGTAAATATATTGAGTTGCTGAATCAGTCTTGTGTCAGGGTTCTGAGTGTGTTTTCTGCCTCTTGTTCTCTATACAGAAAGTGTCCCAGTACACCATCATCGTCCAGGCCACTGACATGGAGGGCAACCTAAACTTTGGGCTGTCAAACACAGCCACCGCTCTCATCAGCATCACCGACATCAACGACAATCCTCCAGAGCTGACAGTCAGAACGGTAAGTTCTACATTTCGTTTTTTGTTCCTCAGAATCAGCAGCTTCCTCCTGGTTCCTTGGCTTTGCAGCTGTCACAGCAATGAATTGAACAGCTCCTAATTATACATTGGAGAGTATCCGTACATTTATAATTTACTTCTTTGCTTTTAATAGATTATTGCTCCATATTTTGAGTGGGTATTGCGGTTTTTCCCCAAGGATTTCACCTCATCACTAACCGTGTATCCGCTATTATAGCAGCTGCTTTTAAGGTCACTGTCCCATAGATCCATTATGCTACATATAGCACATGAGGGTGTAATGTTCTGAGTCGGAAGAGGCTACCTCCAAAGGAAAACATTGCTGTCAGATATTATTAGAAAATACATTATCTGGTCCCTGTCAAAGACAACAATCACGCAACAGTAGCTCAGCTGAAATGTGTTCGGATCACATTTAGATGAAGGGAATGTAAATACAACAGCTGACAAGGATGCAGTATTAGGATATTAAGAATATAAACCCACACAGAGACAGATAAAGAAACACCAGCAAGACAACATATGGAGAGGCAGAAAAAGGCACCGTGACTGAAAGAACATCGAGATAAGTTTTGGTGCTGGGAGGCGTCCTGGTCCCTCCTTCCCTCTCTGTGTTATTCCTGCCAGTGGGGCCTCTGGGGGCCACGGTTTGTCTGCAGGCATCTGGCCCTGGTCCCTGATACCTCCACATCGGTGTGACAGGAAGCCAAGCTGGCCTACTTGTGTCTGTGGTTACGTATGGAGTTAGTTAATAGTTAGTTAATAATTAAATATGATTTAATATTGTAGTTATTGCCTGTACAGCACTTTGGTCAACTGAATGTTGTTTTAAATGTGCTATATAAATGAATAAAGATTGAGGAAAGGTTATTATTACGATACGATAATACTTTATTGTCAGATCAGGTCTGAAGTTTTTCTTGCTTCAAAGCAGCTCCATTTGCATCATTTACAAGGACAGATATTTAAAACAAGATACAAGGGAACAAACATTTAAATAAACCTCACGATCACTGAAGAGAAACCTGCTCAAGAGCCTCTAACGCTAATCTAGCCTCTTTTATTTACTTTTAAAGCCCTCGATGGCCTGGCCCCGCCCTACCTCTCTGAGCTGTTACACAGCTACACGCCAACTCGCACTCTCAGGTCAGCTGATCAGTTGCTCCTGAGGGTGCCAAAAACAAAGTCTAAGCGCAGAGGGGACCGTGCTTTCTCTGCTGCCGCCTCTAAACTGTGGAACGACCTGCCCTTGTTAATCAGACGGGCTCCCACACAGTCTGCTTTTAAATCCCGTCTTAAAACCCACCTCTTCTCCTTAGCATCCGTAAACAAGTAGATTGTTGCTTTTATTTGCTTTCAGTGATCTATTGTTTTTATTATATGGCTGTTTTTTATTTTTTTATTGTTACGTTTATTCTGGTTTGTTTTGTGTCTGTATCTTTTATTTTAAATGTATTTATTTTATGTTTTGTGAGCTGAGCTGTGTGATTTTATATTTTATATATCTCTCTGTACAGCACTTTGGTCTCGAGGTTTTAAAGTGCTATATAAATTACTTTAGTATGACCCCAAACTGGACAAAAATAAACTTGTGGTCAGTAATCAAATTACCATAGTAAACGATTACCATTTCAGCGATGAATTCTATTTCTTTGCCAAACAACCTTTATGTCTCGACGTCATTCTGTGTAACTACTGTGTACATTTGGGAGCGAGAGACTTACAACTGGAAATCATGAATTCTTAGAATTTACGAAGCCGTAGAATTTAGTAACTAAGATGGCAAACGGATGGTCACCATTTCGATGGTGTTTAAAGAGGAATATAAAATAAGTTCCGAAAACGGACTCGTTTTTTACTTATCGTATCCTCAGACCTCGAGTGAGTGTCGCCTTCGTAAACCTAGTTCGAAAAACGGAAGGCGGTAATCGTCTCTTAAACTCTTTTTTCAGTACACGCAACACCGGAAAACAGAAAGACAAGCCGAGATTCGTAGGACAATCGACCTTAATTACTTACGTCGCTGCGTCACGAAGACATATTTAAAAAAAAAAAGGCCGTCCCGTACCTAAGGTAATTAAAAAGATAAAAGTTTCCGTTCAAGGACGGTCGACTTCTTCGTTCAGGCTTGAGTTTGCTAGACAACTTGACGTACAACACCCTTTATTAGTACCAGGTCTGCCCAGAGTTGTACACCTGGAACAATAATCCGCCTTAAAATCTCCGGTACGTTAACACTTTATGTAGCTCGCCAACTCCACAAAGCAAATTGTAGGTTACCAGTGACATCACAATTTTATCCGACCGACATAGTCTTTTATTCCAACCTACGTCGTAAATCACCCTGTTAAAAATTTTCTGCCTCCGTTCATGACAACCTTTTAGTAGCCGAAAAAAGCATTCCGTTGCCTGCGTACCTTACGGAAGTCCCACCCAGCGGTCAAGGCTCAAGAGAATAAGAGGTCTTACGGTTAGGTAGGTTAA